TTACATGATTACCACCCATAGAACAAATTTGGGTGCATGGGATGAAATATTAAAGTTTATAGGATTGTATTAATGATATAAATGAATTATATGAGAGGTATATTTGATATTAAAGCTGCATATGGGTGGTAGACATGTAATATTAATGTTTTGGATATTAGATATGTAAATAGCATAAAATAAAGTTGTATGTACGTAAATTTCCCTACTTTTTATTGTTGTGAATTGTTTAACACTCAATAACAACAAGAAAAATGATAATTATATTAATAATTACAATTATAAAATGATGCACTATTATGTCTATGGTCTTAAATATTTTTAAGATGTTGACACTCAAAATTTTAAGATGCACTCCTCTTTTTACTTAGTATATCTTGATCTTTTGGCTGAGAGTTTTGGCTACTGACTAAGAGGTATTGGATTTGAGTCTTACATATGTGATATGCGCGTAAACTTTAATTGGCCTAAACGTTCCAAAAAAAATATTTTATTTTCTATTTCTCTCCTAATATCAATGCATTCAAATTTTATTGGTTATATGGAGGGCAACACATATAACACTTTTCTTATTGGCGAAATCTTAAAGGTAAAAAGATAATGATAAATCATTAAGGTTTTGTTTGGAGTTTTTTGTTTACGGCAAAAGTTATTTTTTAGAATAAAAATATCTTAAAAATAGGAAAAATGCAATGGCATAAAGCTATCCCAAAATGAAGCTTAATAACTTTTTTACTGCTTTTCAAATCAGCTTTATAGTAGAAAAATTTTAATTTTTATACAAAAAAATTACTTTAAAAGCAGTGAAAAATTTAGACGGGTTTTTTCTGATTCTTAAAGCAATTGGTCAGTACAAAAAATTTAATTTTTTTCATTTTAAAAATAGTAAAAAAATTGTCCAAAAGGAGGCCTAAATGAGTGAGAAATTATTCTATGTGGAGGACAGACGTAGCTACACATCGGCCGGAGGTGAATCAGGTGCAACCACGTCAGCAATATCGAACAATACCGAGCCACAGTACACAATGAAAGGATGACCTGACACATCATGATTAGTTTTAGGACGACGTTCTTTCATTATATAGTGCATGAAATAAAAGGGTGAACTTAAGAAGAAACTTTGGATACTTATAAAGCTAAGATTCAGCAAGAGCGACGGAAAAGATCAAAAAAGACAAGCTGTCTTCGTGCTGGAGCAAGTTCCAGGAATATAAATCTTGTAAAGCAATTATTCATACTTTTTGCTAGCTGTGTATAGAGAATATTACACCATAATATCAAATGATATGGAGATCCATCGCATGTGCATATAAGAGAGAGGTCGTAAGAGATATCAGAATTTTTATATGAATTTTTTTTAAAAAAAGAATATATATAGAATTTTGCCTAATTAAAATGATTTTATTAGTATTTGTCGTCGATTCCACATTGGAGACGTCTTTAAGAAATTATTTACTATTGTTTGATTGTACTAGTTTGAGATAATAAATCAAGAAGTATACCAGAAGTTTTACAGTCAATGTCGAGAGTCAGAGTTAGTGTCGATGGTGTACGCTGAACATATGAGTGATGATATGCATTTATATAATTAGTGACGACACTTATGATATAAAGAAATCAGCATGTGTCTATGTAGCCAGAGTTAGAAGATTGTAGTCGAGCAATTATTTTTGAAAAATCGTACTACTGGGATGGTGGTTTGGGTAGACCTATCAATATTTGACCCAACCCGAACCCGACCCAAAAAATTCGGGTTTGGGTTGACCCGAACCCGAAGCGGGTCGAGTTCGGGTCTAGAAAATCGACCCGTTTGCAAAAACGGGTCGGGTTCGGGTTGACCCGGAAACCCGAAATGACCCGGAAAAGAATCTACCCGTGTTGCCTACCTCGGGTTTCCCGCCTACCCGCCCATCCGGATGCCCGCCTGGCGCCTGTCCTGTCCATCGCGTCGCACGATTGGCCGCGTTCATCGAGCAGCCAACGGCCCAGCGCCCACGTCGCATCGTGGGTTCGCGGCATCGGCGCATCGCATACCGCGCCAGTCTGCCGCCGCCGGCCGCCCCGAGCTTCGTTGCCAGCTGCCACGTCGCCTCACCAGCCTACCGCCGCCCAGAGCTTCGTTGCCAGCCGCCAGCGCCCACGTTGCTAGACCTGTCAACAATTGATCTGACCCGAAAACCCGATCCAAAACCGACCCGAAATTCTCGGGTTCGGGTTGACC